AAAAAGCAAGCTACAGAATTCTTGTTCATATATGCATGTCTTTTTAAAGGATGAGGAACTATAACCAGTGGTGGGATTCAAATAATTTAACAACCGGTTCTCTGCCCTAATGACCATCTGGGTAGGCGGGGCTCAGTGGTCATGTGACTGGGTGGGCGTGGCCAACTCAATGTCACTCACGTTGATGGGCACTTCGCCTTAGCTGTTACAATGTCATAAGGGTTAACTGGAGAGGCAGTTTCTGTAAGCAGGGAGAAGAAAGATTAGGCTAGAAACAGCACCAGAATGTTTCCTTCCTGCCTTCCTTACAGGATTAGCCCTGTAAAGTGGGGGAAAATAAAATAAGATTTCTTCCAACAACCGGTTCTCTGCCCTAATGACCATCTGGGTAGGCGGGGCTCAGTGGTCATGTGATTGGGTGGGCGTGGCCAACTCAACATCACTCAGGTCGATGGATGCTTCACCTTAGCTGTGACAATGTCATAAGGGTTAACCGGAGAGGCAGTTTCTGTAAGCAGGGAGAAGAAAGATGAGGCTAGAAACAACACCAGAATGTTTCCTTCCTGCCTTCCTTACAGGATTAGCCCTGTAAAGTGGGGGAAAATAAAATAAGATTTCTTCCAACAACCGGTTCTCCCAACTGCTTAGCAAGTTACGAACCAGTTCTCCCAAATGGGTGCGAACTGGCTGAATCCCATCACTGATGTCCCTGCAAAGTAGGCGCACAGGGGGCGAACCGATGATAACAAATTATGAAACCCACACTGCACTGGGACCAGAGCTTTAGTCTTCTGAGCTTTCCGACTCATGCTGGAGCCCATCTTCAGGGAACCTCTCCCTCATCAAAGAGAGAGAGAGAGAGAGAGAGATTATAGTGAGAGAGACATTCACTGAGGAAGGGCTCCAGCAGGAGTCCAAAAGTTTGGAAAACTAAACCTCTTGTCTTGGTGACTGACTCAGATTGGATCCTGCCGTACCAATAATCTGTAACAGTGCTTCTCAGTTTCAACACATTTAAGCCGTGTAGATGTCAACTTCCAGAATTCCCTGGCCAGCCATACTGGCTGGGAAATTCTTGGAGTTGAATCCATGTACCTTAAAATGGCTGAAATAGAGAAACACTGGTCTGTAAGTTTCACGAAATGTATTAGCAGGGTGATCAAAAGCAAAGCCTGTTAATTTAAATAGTACCTGTTTTTCCTCCCTGCTTCCCACAGCAAGGAGGTTCACAAATGATGCTTTTGAGAATGCGAGAATGGAAGTAATGGAAAAAGATTATGTCCTGAAGTTCATTTCAAAAACAAATGTATTGGGACACTGCTGCTCATCACATTTATACACATACATTCAGTTTTTATTAATGCTTTATATATCTCTAATGTGTGAAAATATAAAATCTGTGCTTATAACATTTACTTTTTATAAAGCTTATGCACAAATATCTTTTTTTTAAAAAAATAGTGCAATAAATTGTCATCCTTCCAACAACAGTTGGTGTCAGTGTAATATTGGAAAGTGAATTCTGAAATTTGATTGTTAAATATGGCTGATCTAATGGAAAATCATAAATCTTTCCTCGTGGTTTTTGTGGAATTCTTTAACATTTTCTTTTTTTAAAAAAATGGGAGAGTTTTAAAAATTAAATGTTAAGTTACATCCATCTACTCGGAAATTTCCCTCCTTTGTATCAAAATTTTGGAAGCATGAGGGAGGGGCTAAGTCAGAGAATAGTTTGAAAAATTCCCAATAAATGAGCAGGAAACAACTCATGGAATGTTCTTTGAGGTTCAAAGATTATTTGGGGAAAAGCTATTACAGTTTAAACTGAACTATAACTCTGGCCTTGTTGGTTTGAGCTGTTAAGAACTAATGTTCAACAACATGCACTTCTGTCATGTAAACTAAAACAAGAAATAATCTAAGTTTCTAATGCTAAAATACCAATTTTATTTACTAGATTTTATTTTATCTTCCCTTTGATACTTTATAAATAACTCAAGGTGATGAACATACAGTACATAATACTCTTATACTCTTATATTCATATTCTTATCTGTTTTTCTATAGCATTTTGGTAAACAGATAAATGCCTATAAATACAATAAATATAGGTGAAAGTAGTCTTTTGTGCAATCCATGCCCATCTCATAAGCTTAGTAGCTAAAAGACTTGATCTAAAACTTGATCTGAATCTGCTCAGCATAGTTTGGTGTCAGTGACATTCCTGTTGTTTCTGTGCACACTGAATGTTACCTAAGCAGGCATCTTGATCGACTGTTTTCTTCTTCCTCCAGTTGATTCTTACACGATTGATGGTTTCATTCCTACAAACCACTATGTAACCACATCTCCAAAGCAGGAGTAAATATAAGAACAGACCCGATCACAGACACCACCAAAAATAGCCACAAGAAGATCCGGTCAAGAACCTGAGCTACAAACTTCCAGTCGTGCACTACCTAGGAGAGGGAGGAAAATAAGAATTGTGAGTTCAATGCTCATTTTATACAAGTGACATCAGCCCACTCTTGATTCCTAACTTACCTGTCTAATGAAGTGCTCCTTTTTGACATGCCTGGAGATATATTTAATGGAATCAGCAGCTTTTTCCAAGAATGCAACCACCACCTTTTCTCCATCTTTCAATTGTTTGTTTTTATACTTTCTCGGCTTTGGTTTTAGAGCACCTTCCGGATCCGCGAAAGCACAGCGATCTACATGTCCTTTCATGAAGAGCAGCCTGGGCAGTTTCTGAAGGAAAAGTCTTCTCACCCAGGGAGCCATGGGATGATAGGTGGCCGAGGACCGATGGTGCACATTAATTACAAAAACTGTCACTATGATTGAAAGGGTGACAAAAATCATGATGAACAACAAGTACTCACCAATCAAGGGTATGACTTTGGAGGAAGAGGGGATGATTTCTTCAATGACCAGGAGAAAAACTGTGAGGGAAACTAAAACGGAGGTCGAGAGTGATAGTTTCTCTCCCTCATCCGAGGGCAAGTAAAAAACGAGCACTGTTAAAAATGATAGTCCTAGGCATGGGATTATTAAGAAAAGTGTGTAGAACAGTGGGAGGCGTCTTAAAACAAAAGAATAGGTGATGAATGGGTAGGAATATAATCCGTCTTTTCGGTTTCCTTTCATTCCTTTGGCATTTAGGATTTCCCATTCCCCATTATCAAAAAAGTCTGTCCTATCCACATTTTCATCTACTAGGATCAGGTCAACCATGTTGCCATCGTAGGTCCATGATCCAAATTTCATGGAGCAATTCTGCCTGTCAAATGGGAAGAAAGTCACATCCATTGTGCAGGAACTTTTGTAACTAGCTGGAGGTCTCCACACTACTATGCCATTGTACTTAATTATTGCTTTTGTCATCAATGAACCTTCAAATCGCCCATCAGCACTAGAAAGGATAGAGGAGAAAACTGTTCTTAAATTACATATCATGCTCCTTGTTGCAATAATTTTCCCCCTGTGTCAGGTTTGTTTCCTATTGCAGTTATAGTGGTAGCCTACTTCCCAATCCTTTCCACTAGTTTTAAAAGGATACTATTTCTTGTGAGCTCACATTTGTGGGAGTTACTGCTTGCCTGCAAATCAGACCTCAGAAATAAAACTTAAAAAGATTAGGAGAGTTGTTCCTTTTGGCAAAACCTGTGCTCAAATATGAGTTTTCTAAAAACACTTTTTTTGACTTACTAGCCTGGTGGAAGACACACAACCAGATTTCCTTAGACTAAATTTTCAGTCAGAACACTTCACATTATGCCTGTAATATTTAATCAATTAATTCTAGTAGATAGCAATCCTAAGTGGGATGAGGAAGGAAAGGAGATATAGATGAAAAACAATCTTTATCTTAGCCATGCCTCCCACCACCCTCACATCTTAAGCATGGTTTTCAACTTATTTTGATTGCGTCAATAGTTAAAATACATTAACTATCCCCCACCCCCATTCCTGAAGATTCAAGTTGTTCCTGATATATCCATGGAATATATTTTTGCCTTTTATTTTTGCTCTGGGCTCAGAGACGAAAGGACACCTGACTCTAAGAAACCTGAGAAGAATGTTGTGGGATCAGATCTTTCCCTCTGAGTTTGGACCACTTTCTTCACCTTTGGACTGTAAGGTCTACAGCATAGGTGTCAAACTCACAACAACACGTTGTTGTCACATGATGTATTGCAACTTATTCCCCCTTCGCTAAACTGGTGGTGGGCATGGACCACATGTGACACATCCAGGCCATGGGCCATGAGTTTGACACCCCTGGTCTACAGAATCCAATGTTAGCTGAAAATGCCTCCGCAGTAAAGAAAATATGTGGTCCAATCCATTGCTTTTGATCAATTTAATTTATTCTTTATATTAATGAGGAAGTATTTTGAAATATTTCAAGACTGTACTGATACAGCAAGAATTAAATGGATGTTTTTGAAGTGAGGCCAAAGCACATGGACTGTCTATAGGGTTTAGAAAACTTGCTTAGGTAAATTTCAATTAGGCCAAAGAAATTCAAGAACAACTAGAAAACCACTACAAACAACAATAACAAACACTTCACAGATTTGCACTTGAGTTGCTATGCAAGTCCTTCTAGTTGATCAGTATTGTTAATTTGAGCCAAGATATTAACTGGATAGCCCTTCAGGTATCTCTAAAACTGAGGGTTATCTTTGAGAAAGTAAGGACCCCCTAGCCACCCCTCACCACATTAGGATCTCTACACTCACTTTTCAAATAAAACAATATCAGGGAGCCAGAGAGATTCAGATGGAACCCGAATTGCAGTGATCCCACCATAATCTTCAGGATTCCAGCACAATTTATGGTCGATCCATTCCTGCAAACAACAAAACAACAAAAATGACTAGATTTCCATTTCAGTTTCTCAATTAAGTAATCATTCCTAGCTAAGAATAACATTAGGCAATCTTATAAATCTTTAAGTGACTTTCCAGATATTGCTGAACTACAATTTCCATAATTTCTTACTCTTTGAAATGCTGGATGATGATATCCTGTAATGCTAGACATCCTTATATTATCATAGTCATTTTTCAGGTCAATATGTAATTGCTAGCCTGCTGAATCAATGCTTAATGTAATTTTTTTTTCTTGATATGGACATAATGTCAGGATTTATACCTAACAAATCAACTATGGTGTATTGTGTTTAGTTTTGGCTTAGTATGTTGAATAAAAAAGGCTTGCTCAACAAATTGGACTTTAAACGAGTGGAAATACCCCTTTCCAATAATACTGATAAAGATTTTCAGTCATCCAGGTAGCGGTGTCTGGAAATTGAGTCAAGCACTGGCTTCTGAAAGTTTCTGAAGACTGAAGAAGCTACTTGGACAAAGAGCAAAACAAAAAAGAAAAGTTCAATTGACATGACTCAACTTCCAGACCTTTCTTAGTATGTACAATTGACTTGGTATATCCTCCTCAAAGTCAAATGTCCTTACCGTGCAACTTGATTTCCCCAGGTTTTTAAAACTTTAGGATCTCTTAGGGATTACCATGATTATTTAGCCAAGTTTATAATTTAAGTCTTTTCCAGTATGTTTAGTTATTTTCAGTTAATTGCATGCCACTAGCTCAGCCAATAAGTATTACATCATTCATGCAATGTTTTAAACTAAGTTGCTTTCATTTCCTAGTTGTTTAACTTGCTATTGCTTCAATTGCATTAAGAACATTACATTTTTAACCTGTGTTTGTATTCTGTACATTGTCCAGATAAGTCTTCTTGTTGAGCAACTGATGAATGGAATGATTAATAAGGACATATTTTTCATAATCAGGTTTCTCCTTCATACAATCTGGTCTGGCGTTTGCATGAAATATATATTTAGTCCTGAACAGCAGACTTTCCTCACCAGAGCCAACATCGCACTGCTCCCTTCAACACGGTTGTGACCTAATATTCTATCCTTTATAAACATATGATGATGTCAAAATAATGTATAAAAGTATGATTTTTGTCCATCAATTTCAGTGTTATTGGTGAAGAGCTTAAAGGCACACATATGAATGACAAAACACTTGGAGACTTGAACACTTTCAATTTTAAAAGGAGATAAACCTACCAAACAGACGTGAGTTCCTACTGGTTTGGACCTGTTCAGCTGAACCAGTAGTAACTTGGTGGCCTGGGTCACTGGAACCTGCAACGACCCAAGGCTGCCACACCCCTGAACGGTTCTCCTACAGTGTTGCCATCTTGATTTTTGGTTCTGCGCATGCACAGAACAAATTTCATTGCTGAAATGTATTTTTTTTTCCTTTTTCTAACATTTTGCACATGCGCAGACCTTTTTAGGTGCAAATGTGCATGCCCACGTAACGTGCATTTGGTGTATGCATGAGCAAAGCGCAAAGTTTTTGGGCACTGAACCAGTAGTAATGCCGGCAGCAACCCACCCCTGCTAACAAACCATCATTTCCCCGTGAATATTGTAACAGTTCTCTCTTTCCCACCTCCGCCTCAACATTTCTGGCTGGGATAGAGCCACTTTGGCCAGCCATCAAATTATTTCAGTCTGAGGTAATGTAGTCACAAGACTTTAAAAAATGCCAGAGTTGCTGTGGGTCAAGACATCATAAAGCTGTATACCTGATGGCTGTTTTTTTTTTTTTTAAGGAATGCAAGGAGTAGCCTAGGGGAATATTGAGGCAACACAATTGTGACCTTTGAAAATGTAACAGCATCATTCTTGGCAGTCTTCACAAAGTATACAATACAATACAATAGCAGAGTTGGAAGGGACCTTGGAGGTCTTCTAGCCCAACCCCCTGCATAGGCAGGAAACCCTATACCATTTCAGACAGATGGCTATCCAACATCTTCTTAAAGACTTGCAGTGTTGGGGCATTCACAATTTCTGGAGGCAAGCTGTTCCACTGATTAATTGTTCTAACTCTCAGGAGCACAAAGAAGAGGGAGTCAAACTATTCTCCAAGG